TATATATTTTTTATAGGTCCAAACACACGCTGCAGAAATAATCCAGTTTTAAGGTCTCTTTAACTGCCCTGGCTCAGTGCTATTAGTTTTGTTGTTTGTTGCGGTATGAGTTCACTGACGGAGGCGGTTAAATGTCTCACAAAACGACAGTTCCCAGGATTCCCTAGCAGTGAGCCAGGGTAGTTAAAGCGGCATCGTGTGTTTTGGAGCACAGAGTTAGAAGAGACTTCAGGGGCCATCAAGTCCAATTGCCTGACAAACAGGTTTGACTCACTCTTTAACTGCCCTGGCCCCATGCTGTGGAATTCTGGGAACTATAGCATTTAGCCTTCTCAGCTGAAGTGGGGTCAAATGCTTGGCAGGCGGCTGGACTTGATGGCACCTTACATCTCTTCTAACTCTTACAGTCCAATTCACACTGCAGAAACAATCCAGTTTGAGATGGCTTTAACTACCCTGACTCAGTGCTAGGGAATCTGGGAATTGTAGTTTGTTGTGGCACCAGAGTTCACTGACTAAATATCTCAAAACTACAGCTCCCAGAACTCCCTAGCACTGAGTCAGGGCAATTAAAGCAGTTCCGAACTGGATTATTTCTGTAGTGTGGATGCAGTCTTGGAAATACTTTTTATGTATGCATTTAATCAGGGTGACCCCGTGTCCTCCTTTTCCAGGACATGTCCTTCATTTCAACCTTCTGTCCAGGAGGAATTTCAAAATGTCCTCCATTTTGAGCAGGATTAGAAAGCATGGTTTTACATTCATACGCGTGTTTATAGCTTTTGTTTGGTAATATTCAAATAAAATTTCTTGAATGCCCTGCATTTTGTGGCGCGTTGTCCTCCTTTGCAGTTATGACATCTGGTCACCTTGCACTTAATCCAATTTATATCCTGCCTTGCTCTGCCCAAAAAACTGAAGGTGAAGGAAAAAGAAGTTGTGGCAGGATGATACACTACATTGTTGTTTGTTGTTGTTACCGTTTTCTCATTGACCTCAACCCATGGTGACCCTATAATAAAATAATAATAAATTTTATTTATATCCCACCCCTCTGCAATGCAACAGGGGCGGCTTACAACAGTAAAATACATACAAAGTCATCACTGCCTCCAAGTCACCACTGCTCAGCTTTCAGACCATACATAGAAATCTGTAATGCCATGGCATGGATAAGTTTGACTTTGGGGATGGATTATATATTTTGACACTTGACAGCATGCAACTATTCGTAGAGATGTTTAAAATGTGACTGGGCACTTAAGGATGTAGAAAAGCTTCCAAATACATTTCAGAATATTTGGTCATATTTTGAAGGTTGGTCGTGCCTGTTTTCTGAATCCACCTAAGAATCCAATTTCTGACATTAATAGCCTTTAGCAGGAAATCTGAGCACAGATTGAAAAGATTTAGGGCCTTTACAGACTGCCAGAAATAATGCAGCTCGAGGCCACTTTAATTGTCCTGGCTCAGTGCTAAGGAATCATGGGAACTGTAGTTTATTGTGGCACCAGAGCTCTCTAACAGAGAAGGCTCAATGTCTCAGAAAAAATACAATTCCCATGATTCCTTAGCACTGAGCCAGGGCAGTTAAAGTGGACTCAAGCTGCATTATTTCTGCCCATAGTTGACTTTTTCATAGCTTCAGTTTTAGTTCCTTGCCCTTGCATAGTAACTATGTATCAGGGAGGATGCTGGGAGCATCAACTGTATTAAATTCATGATGCCCACTGTTGTAATTATTTAATTATTTACAATAGATTTAATTCTTCCCTGTTTTAGTGGGGTACCATAACAGCCAAAATATAACTCAGTAGAGCTTGGCACCCTGAGTAAGAAGAACCTGTAGTAAGCACAAATTCTAAAGCATGTTGGTTAAGCGGGCTTGCTTTAGAAATTAGTTGTTTTATAAAGATATACAGTTGTTCCTCCCCGTTTGCGGAGTTCGAGTTCACGGTCTCGCCCTTCGTTGGGAGGGACAAGGGTGCGTGCCATTGGTTTAAATAGGGCTTGAATATTTGCGAGCTGCCATTTTCACAGGGATGGTGGTCCGGAACAGATCCCCCATGAATTGGGAGCGGCAAGTGTAATGGAAAACTTAGTGCAAACCACTAGTTCTTGCTTATGTGCCTTTTCTGGACATGTTTCAGTTTATAAAGTTTTAACCCTGGGGGTGTTGTATTATTTTAAATTGTATTAAAGTGTATTGTTTTAAAGTGCTTTTATCTTATTAAATCGTACTGTACAGTCACTCCTGCATTTTCGCGGACTGCAAGTCCACGTTCCTTGCCCATTCTCAGGAGGCGAATGGAAGGGGACAAAATGGGGCGCGTGCCTCCATTCAAGCCAATGGGGCTTGAATATCCACAATTTTTGATTTTTTGGGGGGGGGCTCAGAATGGATCCCTCACGAGAATGGAGGAGCAACTGTATTTTTAAACAAATGATCTGTTTTGATATTATAATAGTTTAATTTCATTTTAATTGTCACTTTTGTAGATTTTTAATTGTAGAGTTTCCAGACTGTAAGCCACTTTGAGTCCTAATTTTTTTGGGGGGGCGGGGGAAGCGGAATACAAATAGATACAATAATAATTGTTATTACATTTGACGTGTATTCTGTCATCCCTAGCATTTTGTAAGCCATTCAGTGAAGCATTTGTATAGTCCTTCAATGTTGGGATGCAGCAGTTAGTACAGGCTTGCCCAACTCTCCATTTTGTCCACAAACCTAGTTAGCAAATGCACATGAACAAGTTGCTGAGCTCTACTGCATATGTCCTGGCTGTGAATCTACTATAGGATTTGGGGCTTCTGCAATTAGCAGTCAGTGTCATTAGGATTGGGAAGATTATGGCTCAAATCCATGGGTCAGCTATAAAATTCATTGGGACAGTTGCTGTTGCCCCAGTCTACCTCACAGGGATATGGTGAGGATTAATGGAAGAGGATTGTGTATATTGTCCTGTGTTGTATGAAGAAAAGAGCAAGATAAGAGTTTAAGTGATCTACGGCAAATCATTTTTGTAAACTGCTAAATTCTGAATGAACAACATGAAGTGGTAAACCTTTTTAGATGTTTGGTCAAGGTTTGAAGCCATTTGCTTTGTAGAACAGTTGTAAATAAAAGCTGAAACCTTTGAGTGCAACCTTGAGTTAGGAAAATTGGTTCTAAATAAATAAATAAAATGGATAGTGGGACTCTAGGAGACTTTGGGAGATAGTGGCATGACTGTAAACGCCAAAGTTGTGTGGAGGAATCTTAACAATTACACATATAATTAGCACTGCTGTGCTCTTGTCATATGGCCACAATCACTGTCGGTAGCAGATCAGTCCTCTAAAATGAATAAGCAAGCAAATGTTCACACAGTGCAAATCAGAAGCCTTCTGATTTTTTAAAAGTAGCTAGCAAAGCAATTAAGCATTTTAATATTTAAACTAAGTTTTCACAAACTACTGCAGCATAAAAGAGCCCTCTGCTGGGCAAGCATAGCTATAAAGTTAAAGATGCAAAATCCAAAGCCTCCAAAGAATTTTATTTTACACAGTTCTCCTACCAACATAATTTTTCCAGTAGGCTGTTTCTCATTTCCTGTGTGGAACCACCACTATTACAGTTAAAAAGCTGAGTATCAGAAAGCAGTGTGCCTTCATCTAGAAATTCAAGAATTATTTCAGTAATGTGATTTGATTATTCTTGAAATTATTTTTGAGATCTCTGTTG